ATCCCTCATCATCTCTGTTCCACCGCGTTTTCGTTTTTCAAAGGCGCATTCCGCTTTGATCGCATCAAAGGGGCTCATAACAGTCGCACTTCCCTCATTGGAGAGCCAATTCGCCGCTCAGATCGTATGGATGGGGATTAATATCCGTTCCCTCATTGGTGCGCCAGTCCTTCTGGAGGGATGCGTGCATCACTTGTGAATATTCAATTTAGTTCCCTTTCTCCACCCGAGTATCACGAAAAGAGGGGTGTAAATTTCGATTGAATTTTGCCGTACCTCCAGTGAAATAATGGCAATGGAGACCGCACTTGCCGCAGATTCTCTCCTCGGCTACGGCTCCCATCAATCAAGCTAAGTGCCACGGAAGGGGGGGGGGGCTATAAGCGGTGGTATGCGCCACTTATCAGCTCGGGTTCCTCCAAGTTCATGATGGCTCTCGCTTTCCTCGTGCTTTCCAAGGAGCCCATAACCAGCATAAATGAGAGAAACGTACGTAAAGAACTTCATGAATCATTGGGACTTCAAAGAGACGCTCACTTAGACAATCACTGATTCAGCCGAAATAAAGTGCTTATTACTGCTTCATCCGAGAGAGTATGATGAGTGACTTGAAAACTCATAACAGTTACCTGTTCGAAGAAGGCGTAAGCTTACAAACTCTAAAACCTCCAATGAAACAAAGTCCTGCTTTGCAACTCAACTTACACTCACTGCCTAGACGCAAGCTCCACGCTGATCATATGGGCGGAGTCAGACCTACCATAGTGCCTTCCTAGGACCTAAGTACAGCTCGCAGACGTGGTGGATTTGTTATCTCAAAGCCGCGGCGTCTCTTCTCGTTTATATATTTTCTAATTACGATTTTCTGAGGGCAGCATGCATGACCCCACAATCTCCTTGACACTGACTTTGATCGTAGCGACAGCTCCCTTGAGCCTGTTGCCAAATAATCAGCTGGTCAGGGGCTCTGGAAGAGGGCCATCACGCTAGTCGTGCCGGTGCCACCACTTGTCCACTGCTTACCTCAGTCCGTTCCTATTTTAGCTGGTTTGACTTTTTACCAGCTTTTTACTACCTTCATTCGAGCCGATAATAATTAAGACTGTCAGCGATGATACATGGCTGACCATTATGGCAGAGCAGAAGAACCTGGACGCCTTTCTGAAAGTACCAGTCAAGACCTTTGCCGACGTGGTAACGAGGAAGAAGAGGCAGGCAGACAAATGCGGTAAGTTCTCTGATTCAGACATTCAGAGGCTTTTGCTCCTACGCTGCCATTTCAGAGTGCTCAATGAGGGCTCAAAATTGCCCACCCGGTCCACCTGGCCCTCCAGGTCAGCCAGGAGAGCGTGGAGAAGACGGTGCCAAAGGGCCCGATGGTGAGAATGGTGCTTCAGGGCTCGCGCTTCTGTAAGTAGTACCATTCGTAAACAGTAATCTCCTCGATGATGAATATTGTTACAGGTTCGAGTCGGAGTCGCTGTCTGGATGTATAAAATGTGCGCATGGGCCACCAGGGTTGCCTGGACAGCAAGGTCCTCCTGGAACCCCAGGAGCACCTGGTACTCCAGGACTACGCGGTCCACCCGGTGAAAGTGGAGCACCTGGACCAGAAGGAATGGTTGGTGAACCAGGACCTCCAGGTCACCCCGGACACGATGGCGCACAGGGTCCCAGTGGGAAACCGGGATTGGTCTACATGCCTGGAATGCCAGGTCCACCAGGAATGCAAGGACCAAGAGGTGCTGTTGGTGAACCGGGAGAGCCTGGTGCGCCCGGTGATGATGGCGAGCCAGGACGAGATGGGCCACCGGGACTTCCTGGAAGACCCGGACGAAAAGGACAAGATGGAATGCCGGGAATACCTGGAGAGAATGGAGTTGCTGGGCAAGATGCTAATTACTGTAAGTGCCCAGCGAGAGGTCAGAGGGTATTTTAAGGCATTTCGCTTACGTTTCGGTTACAACATCACTCCTCAGGAGTCTAAACTGTTCATGGAAAACGTGCAACTTTCTGATAAAGCTTTGTTTCATATGTTTTGATGTACACTTGTGATCAGAGATCGCTCAGATCTTGACGCAGCCATGCTGCGCCATTTGCATAGCGCACAGAGGTTTTTCACTTCACCTATCCGAATGCTGCCGTCTCAAGGTTCTTCTTGGAACGATGGAAATTGGATGAAAAGATGTGAAGGTACAGGTTGTAGGGCGCTTGTTTCAAGGGATGAAAGCAGCAATTATGGCGAAAGTATGGGCAGGGCGGTCCAAGACCGTCCACACTCAACGTTCGCGCCGTGCCCTCACCTTGGGTGTTAAAGGCAATGCTCGCGATCATTGCCATACTAGGGGGACGGACACTCTACAGCACGAAAGGGTGCTGAGTAACGCGATAGTGAAGAAAAAGCAGAGAAAAACATTTGTACTGCACTTAGATAGGACCCCATTTCAATCCCAGTTTGTAATAGCTACGTGGTCCAATTAACTCCATCTCCTACACTACGCCCTCATCCGCACAGCTAATTCCCGATAGGAACTCGCGCGCAGTTCGGCAAGGGGGTGGGGTTGTGCACTTTGCACACTTTAATTTGTTCCAGCTGAATACTTTGCCTGGTAAACCTGTGAATTTTAGAGGAAGCTTGGAGCAAGCTCGTCTAGCTACCGTGATGAAACGTATCAACTCAAGAAAAGGCTACCTAGATGGGTCAACACATCGATGGGAAGCAAAATTGCCCCCACCCGTCGCCTAGCTGCGCCGCCACGCTGTACAACAAACAACCTACAGAAGGGGAGGGGGGGGGGGGGAGAGAGCAAAAAAAACGACACTTTTCTCCCTCGACTTTCAAGGCGATCTTAGTTACACTTTACTGAATTCTGATTGGACATTACCACCATCATATTCAACAGCACATTGCACACTATCATGATACTCCGCCACAGCCTTCTAGACGAAGCGCATTGAAAGGTTCTGCAACGCGACCGTGAATCGGTGCCTGAGTACAGCGAGATCGTTGATTTCTCCCGCTTTTGTAGAGCACCCTGTAGAGCTCCTCCCGAACCCAGTAATCGGGGTTGTTTAGGCCAGGTGACACACTTGGACATTTCGCCTCCTCAGGTTCTCAACGCCCTTTAATTTTCCAACTGTAGGCGAGAGGTTTTTTACGATGTCGCCGTCAATTCCGATGTGCTGGGCAGTACAATCCTGCAGCAGTACGCAGTTAAAAGATTGGTTACAGGCGAAGACATGAGCGGCAGGAATATTCTCTTCGAGTTAGTTCGTAACTGTCCAGCGTCACTAAGTCCGGGGTCACGCAAGAAAATATCATTCTTCCATTTCAGGAATTCGGTCCACACCATCAATCAGCGCCTTCGGCGACTGTGGTAACAGGTGAATCGTAACCGTAAGCGACGTTGTGGGAGCTGTTCGGATTTGGACGGTCTTTCCATATCAGCAAGGGCCGGTTCCTGATACGCTTTTAAATGGGGTGACTCCACACAAAGAATTCCGTAGCTGTTAGGAGGTGGCGTGAAGTTCATAGGCCTTCTTCAGTTCCACCGAAGCTCCATATTTTTGGTGTACAGGAAGGTGATGGGCGAGAGCGTGCTCCTGCTTATCGAGGAACATCTTGAGTATCTTCCGCCCTGGTACTCGTATCCACGCCTTCTGTCTGGGCTGCGAAAACTTTACTGATATGTGACTCGACCGAAGTGTCTTTTTCAGTGTGGAGTGTCTTGTACCCCTCACAACATAAAATGCCGATTCTAGTTAGCAAATGTGCGTATGGTCATGCGCCTCGGCCGAAGTGTCGTTTTTGCCCTCTCCCTCCCCTGCGATCACTGTTGTGTACGGCCACAGGAATAGGCTCGATATCTCTACCACCGGGAAGGTGCGATTTCGCACTTAGCCTCGAGGAGAATTTTTCCAATTGTGATGTTGTTCGTTCACGCGGCTCAGGTACCCTAGCCCTCCCTTTCTCCCCGTATATAATTTTACTGACGGAAATTTAGGGAGCTGATTAGAGTGTGAAAACGGTATGGGTGGCTGAAATCTGCTCCGAGGGGCGAGCGGTCGTTCTACTTACACCTTTCATCTCTCAAATCCCTTGTAATTATACATACCTGCTTGACAAGTCAAGATCGCTCATGGGAAGGCCGGTTCGTAAACGATCTGACTACGGTTTCATAGACGCATATCTTTTTCTTGGGCATTTGGGACGGCGTACGTATCTCTGTACTTTTTATGTAGTTGTAGATGAATGATAAGACGGAACGCGAGTTTTTGAGTTGAAACCACCGCCTTCCTGTGGAATTCGATAGTTCCAACGAATCAGCCGAGAACCATTTGAACGCTTCAAGCGGATTTGATAGCAGGGTTTCAGTTACGCTACTATATGAATTTGAATTGTCAGGTGCGGAACGGACGCTAAACATACAGTGAAAATGCACGTTTTGTGGCTCAAGGTCAAATTGTCTCTGAAGCAGAGCGCTGAGACATGATTGGCATGCATTATTTTACTTTGGGAAACCAGCATGAGTAAGGTAACCATATAACAAATAATAATGGAAGCAAAGGCAGTAGCTCACTAAGCTTTTCTATTCGCACTTATTTTCGGTTATTCTTTCGCACCCTCCTGACCCACTTCCCGAATTTTCCTGTTAAATAAATGATATTTGCGGAATGTTTATTCTCGTTGAAATGGGTACAGCAACCAGGAAGATCCCATTCAAGTGAGACGGCGCTTTCGGCGTGGTGGGCACGGACAGTACTCGGCATCTGGTCCAGTTTTTCCGTTCTCTCCTCTCTGTAACAAAGAAGCCATAGTTTCACTATTCCTATGCCAAATGCAAACAAAGTTGTTCACGAACCTGTCCAGGAGTGCCATTTCTGCCCGGGTGTCCGTCCTTTCCAGGATGACCTGGGCGACCTGGTGGACCAGGTTTTCCATCGGTTCCAGGTGCTCCAGGCTGGCCTTGTTCTCCAGGAGGACCACGTGGTCCTGGTGGACCGGGATGTCCGGGCATTCCCTGAGAATATTGCGTTCCCACTTCTCCAGGAGGACCAGGTGGTCCGGGACGGCCAGGTGCACCAGGTTGTCCTTCATCTCCTTGAGGACCCATTTCTCCAACTGGACCAGGTGCACCGGGAGGTCCGCGGTGACCAAATGCTCCAGGTGGTCCAGGAGGTCCCTGTTCTCCAGGAGGTCCACGTGGTCCCGGTGGGCCTGCGGGGCACGTAATGCATCCTCCAGGAATGTCGTGAGTAACAGCAATAGCAATGCCAGGAGCACCGGGTCTACCGTCTTCACCATCAGCTCCCGGCTCTCCAGGGTGCCCCTTTGGTCCAGGTGGTCCGGGAGGTCCTGCTGGGCAACCATTCGATTTCGCTCCACAGTTGCACTGATCCGGGAAACCAGCTGCACGCTGACGACGACCGAACAGGGTGCCAAAGTCTGGCGGTGCATCTGAGCTTCCGGTCGGGTTCACGTGTTTGGTGATGATACGGCTCCAGGTGTCTTCGGTGATGCCCTGAAATTCTAGACGAATCAAGGGCCACATGGACGCAGGCGAGTCCAAGTGCAACAGAAACTAGACTCACCTTGAACTCATCCATGCCAACTTCAACTTCGAGTTGAAGATCGGAAATCTCCTTCAGGAGCGAGACCATGGTGACCAAGGAGCAGACGATAAAGGCCAGCGTGGCCGCCGAGCCTATCAGGATCACCTTGCTCATGATGGTGAACTAATTGCGACGCCGCTCCAGCGCTATTTAAAGCGCTCGAATGGCAGTACAGTGTCCTTCACAGTGGTTTTGCAAGTGAAAAGGGCAAGCAGGCAACGAATAAAAACACTGTGCACTCTCCTCATTGGGTTACGTCTCTCGACGATTGTCATTGCGGTTTCACTTTTGGAGTGCTTTTTGCTTTTCATTTTACATTCCTCAGCATTCTTCTATGTAAACTCCAGCAAAAAGACTGTTCACCCCGTTGTCTGTCCCAAGTTACGCTGATTATCGAGAACAAGTCATTAGCACCTTCAACTTCTATCGACAACTAGGCATAAAACCACCCAAGAGGCAACTACGGATAGATATGATAAGGTGAGTCCAGGTATCAAGGGATTTCTCTTGCGCCTTCTTATTCCTACTCGCTGCTGTGATTCCTAGA